AAGCAACGCAATCCCTATCAAAACTACAACAGCATTTCTTGCATAAATAGAAAAATCTATATGGAATCTCAAAGAACACCAAATAGCCAAAACAATCTTGAAAGAGAACAAAGTTTGAGGTCTCACACTTCCTGATTTCAAAACATGTAACAAAGCTACAATAATCAAAATGTGCAGCACAGGCATAAGAGAGAAAACAGATCAATGGAATAGAATAGAAATCTTAAAATTCAAGAGTTAAAAAAAAGTGATGGTTTATGTGGTGTTTAATACTCATTTTAGTTATAAGGAAAAGGAACATGCAGGGAAGAAAAAAGGGGTGCCACCATATATTTAATTATAGCACAATTCCTAATAACATCTGCATCTGAGCGCAGTTTTACATGTACTCTTGACCCACAACTTAGGTCTTGGGTTTGAGAAGGAGAGAATAAAGTCATTTTAAGCAAACCTTCATTTAAAACTGAATGCCCACTCTGCATAAACTGCTCATGTTAACAGATGTTCTGCCCTACAGGGAAATCCCAGTCTGGGCAAAGAATGACACCCATAAAATAATTTAAGTAGCTAAATAAGGCAATACACAATTAAGCTCAGATGAATGACAAAGACAAGGCAAATTCAGAAGAGATTGCAGGACTGAAGAGAAATGGAGAAAGTTGAGAGGTGAGAGCCCGCTGCAGTGCCCTAGGCAGGAGGACTCGGGAGAGCCAACCAAGATATCTAACAGGTATTGATGTTGCCTGGTAGAATAAAAAATGAAACCAATGTGGCAGAGGACAATCATGGCATTAACATTAAAAACTGGGAAACTGGAGGTGGCATGATAATTCTGCTTTGGAAATGTGCAGTGTGTTGATGGCTAGAAATGCAAATGAAGGAAGATATCCACATGACACCTAGAGAACAGTGACTGACAAGGCACAATAATAACCAAGAAGTACAAAGTCATCGAAACCATGGGAGAAAAGTTCCAAGGCACAGCTATCGACAGTGTCTGATGCTGCTTACAACAGATGGCAAGGGAAAATTTAGGCACAGAAAACAAGCCTCTGGGCAACCTGGCAAGGACAATAAGAATGCTCAAGTCACAATCAGATGAAGGAGAATTTCTAAATATCAAGCACCCATCAATGATTTCATTTCCCCCAAGAGTAGTTTGGCTTATTACTACTCTGGATGACTACATATTAGATAATTTCTACATCTACTTTCCAAAGCTGATCTTTTTAGCTGGTGTCTCTGAGTCCTACAAGGCTAAGGAAATAGTCATCTGCAAGAGAGCGGACACAATGTTTCCAACTACAGGATCCCAAGGCTTCTGGCAGTAGTGAACTGCTTTAAGCAATATTAATGAAGTGATGTTTTATTTACTAGACCCTAAATTAGAGCAGCCACTCTACTCACAAAGGATTAAAACAGGTCACTCTTAAGAAAATCACTTTTTAAAATATTCTTACATTTATATAAAGCGGTAATTTGGTTAGAAGTAAATACTACTCCTAATCAATTCTACATCCTCAGATAAAGTTTTTATCTCTTTCCTCTGGCCTTTATTTCCAAGCACTTCAGTCACAGGCTCTGTAGATAAAACATCTTTGTATCTTCCTCCTGCACTGCTGTCACATATACAGCTTAAAACAAAACTGAAATATAAATTGTCGCAGACAAAAACAATCACATTCCTGAAACTTACGCAAGTTTCCATTTAATAGACAAATAAAATGACCTTTTTATATATCATAAATTAAAAGACAACCATGCCTTCCAAAAACCCATTTCAGAAGTACTGTACAAAATAGTAACAGGATGTAAAGTAGAACAGTGAGAATATACAGCCAATAATATTGTAATAACTAAGTATGGTACCAACAGGGTACTTGAAATATTGGAGGATCACTTTGTAAATTATGATTGTCTAACCACTGTTCTGTGCACCTGAAACTAATTAAAATAATACTGAATATCCACTGTAATTGAAAAACAAAATTAAAAAAAATGAGTATGGAGGCCAGAAGACAGTGGAGCAATTTTTACCATAAAATAAGCTGTCCAAACTTTGGCAAGAGTTATTAAGTCTAGCATATAGTGGTAGCTTCTGTATCAGAAATATAAAGTTCTTTACTGGGCTGGAAAAAGAATAACTATATTACATGGCATGATGCTTTTTTTTAAAGTTCCTACGTGCTGGTTATAATAAGCTGATTTGTAAATCAAAAATACTATTAAAAACCATACATTTAGTGTATACACACATACATATTTTTGCTACATATTTTAATATATTTTTCATTACACACACACACACACACACACTCTCTCTCTCTCTCTCCTCTCACAATTCTCAATATCTAGATCTTAGCTTCAAGAAAAATCTTGATACTAATCCAGAATAAACAAGTTATTTGTAGTAATTATAGTAACTTCTACCTCTGGCAACTCTTACAAAGTCCTTACAAACTGCAGAGTACAGCCAAAACATTTTCCAAGTCCCTTTTCTCTGACACAACCCCATGTAAAGGCAAATGTTAAAATACAGTTAAGATACATAGGATGTTAAGACAAGAAATGGCTCATACGTCTGACTTTAAAAAAAATTAACATCTAATCCAAACATGAAAAACTGCATTAGGTAATCCAGCTGTTTCTGCTGGTTTTCTTTAGGAGACAGTGAGTTTTATTATGTTTTGAAGATTTTTTGGTGAAATTCTTCTGCAGTGGAGGAAAACTATACAAACTTACAAAATACCCAAAAAATCATCATTACAATTGCAGGTGAATTTCAACTTTGAAAAAGAAAACTAGTTTATGTTACTAAAATAAGCATAAAAGAATCTTTAAGGCATCTATGGACAAACTGAACTTCACTACCTTTAAAAATTTGCCCAGACTTGCTGAAACTCAACATCTTTCGGGGGCAAGTGCTGTGTTTGTGTCCTGTCAGTTGTCAAACTCATGGTATCACAATCATGTGAGAAAAATCAATCTCATTTCTCCTGCTACTCAAACAAAAACAATACTAGAATCTGATCAGCAGGAAGGTTGAAAGCATAGCCGATTTCTGGAGCTACCTTCAAGAATATTTAATATGAACCAGACCCGTTCATGATGGGCAGAGGCCTATGTTCTACATTAATATAATCACCATCAATATCTTGAACAGTTCATTTGTACAAACAGTTCACACAGATACAACATGGACACAAAAGGTGTCTCACTGTGCCAGGACCACTGACTGACTCAACCACATCTTTTCAAACTTTATACCCTGGCAAGCATTCTCCTCACCTGACCCTTACATTTATGGGGATTAGAGAGGTATACTAAAACTTAATAAACTACACAAATGGAAAATTAGCAAATATAATTTAGGTCCACATTTCTCAAACAAGGGATTTGTTTCCTTAACTAAACAAATAATTAGCATATAAAATGGCTCTTGGAAAAATAAGCAGCAGGATAATACAAAGTTAATGTTTTACTAGACTCATTCTTTTATTTCCCTGTGCTAATGATGGCTCAGGAAGACTATCATTCATTCAAACAAATGTCTACTGTGTGCCTGCCACTGTGCATGGTAAGCAACGTGACAAAAAAGCAAGGACGCAATACCTGCCAAGGATGACTTTGAACTCAAGGAGAAAAGCCCATTACATTATTGTAACTATTTTAGGTTCACTGGACACCAACTACTTGCCAGACTGTGCTGGCATCATGGACACACAGGAACAATCAACTAACTGCAGGTCTGTAACCAATGATGAACTCACAACCCGGGGCCTGACTGGTCCTAAAGCATTAGTATTTTATTCTAGAAATAAACTTGGATCTATTGATTACTCCTTTCTCTAGATAGCGATTCTTTGAATAATTTCCATCTATGTTAACCCAGACTAAGGTTGCTTAGAGTGTGAAATGAGGAAATGTAATGTTTTGAACAAAAATAAAGAAACAGTAATCCGAAGCACACTTGCACTTTAACATTAATTTGGTTTACAGTTGCTGGTGCTTTCAATAACAACAAAAAGCATAAAGTGGCACATCGAATTTTCTTGCAGTGGCAGTTCAATGTGAAACAAAAGCTAAACTAACATATTTTGCTTAGTTTTTAACAAGCACTGACTTTTAGTGATTTCTTCTGTGACTCACTTCCCTAGGCTCAAAAACAGGTAGTAATGGCAAAATTATCCTGTGAAAGCACCAGTTTACAGTTATACAATACTAACGAGATTTTTAAAATAGGGACCAGCCCTTAACTGTAAATTATAGATAAAGGTTTGCAAACTAGAAACTTGGCATTTGTGTTTAAAGTTTTTCATGTTGAAGATAATGACACCCAATTACATATGTTAAAATAAAAAATGTAAACAGACTTTCAATAGCTTACTGGAACGCTAAGTAAAACTGTATTGTACATACATATAGAGAACTGTTGGCTAAACATTCAACACTGCAAAGCGATACTGAAGAGGGAAACTGAAGAAACAAGATTCTTCTTCTAGAAATGTTTGAACAAATTCAAAGTAAAATGTAAGCTGGGTTTTGAAACCTTTCCACTAGTCTCGCTATTTTGACTACGACACTTTAAAGTGAGCCCTGTCTGCACGCCGTTATTAAAATCGCAACCCAAAAAAGAAAGTATCCCAAAATTTGCCTATTAACAGCAATTAAGTCTAAATACATGCCCTCCCCCACCCCGTCACAGAATGGGCAAAGTGGCAAGAATATCCGAGAAGTCAGGAAGTTTTGAAATGGCAGTGACAGGAGACAAGGGGGAGGACAAGGGGAAGGAATCACGGACAAGAGCCACTTGGTGCGGCCAAAGCCGCGAGGTGGCATCTGGACGGCAAGTTCGCGGCTCCGGACGGGACTCGACCGGCGACTTCTACCGGACCGAGCTTGGCGCCGTGGCCCTGCCTCCCAGTCACAGCCCGGCAGCAGCCTCCGCGAGGACGCGGTGACAGTGTGGGGCCGGGGAGACGCCAGCCGGTGACACCCACCTTCCTTCTCGGCCCGCGCCGCGGCCACGACGAGGGTCATTACCAGGTGAAGCGCTCCCAGGAGGGCGGCAGCCGCGCTCCGCAGGCCCCTGCCGCGGCCAGCCGCGGGCTCCAGACCCGGTCTGGCGAAGGTGGAAACCGCGGCCGCTCCTGCTGCTTCTCCGGCCCGTTTTCCCATCCCTGCCGGCCGGGGGCCGCCGCGCTCGAAGTACGGCGCGGCCCTTCTCGGCGAGGAGGCGGCGGTGGCGGCGCGGAAGCCGTGGTCCGGTCTAGGGCAGCGACGCCGGGGACGAGAGCGGCTCCGGGCCCAGGACTGGGGCTCCGGCTGTGTCTGGGTCCGTGAGTGCGTGTGAGCGAGACTGTCAGTCACGGTCGCAGCCTCGGCATTTCCAGCGAGGAATCGAAGCGGAGAGGCCGCGGGTCAAACACGGCAGGCGGCCATTCTGAACACGGGCACGGGCCCAGGGTTCCGGACGCTGGCCTGCGAGGGGCGGGGCACGGCCCTGGGCACCGCCTCCGCCGTGCGGTCACCTGGGGCCCCCCGGCTAGCTGTTAGCCGGGACACCGTGGGTCCGAACTCCTGGCCCAGCTCTCGGAGGCCCACGGCTTCACCAGCCAGGGATAGCGGAGACAGCACAGCCCCAACCCGTCACGCTGTCCCGCAGGAGGGAGGAGGGAGGCAGACCTGGATCGGCCGCCAGGACTTATGATGGCGGCGCACGCCTCACGAGGCAGTGACTGTGGTCACGTGGAGACTCGAGGGACTCACGGCGCAGCCGCCGTGGTGTGGGGGTGGGGCCGCGGGCACTGAGAAAGGTTCGGTAGCTTCTTAGATGCGGGGACTAGCTCCCGCATCTTTGGCACTGCAGTGACTTTCCAAAAGATTGAGGGCGCCTACCAACCTCAAGACTCAGCGCGGAAAATCCATTCCAGGGACTCTGAGTAGTTGCATCTCCGCCTTCCAGGCCGTTGGGGAATACCCCGTGCCTGATTCTGTGCCTGGTGGCGTTTCCTGGGGGAAGGGGACCTGCTCTGTTCAACTTTGTATTCTCCAGCCAGTGTATTCAGGAACGCTTACTGGAACTTTCTTGGTTTTGGATTGTGCTCACTGTTATGCGTATATATAAAGCCGTAGTGACCCTGGAGGGAGAGGCAGGTGGTTTTCTGGAAAAACTGTCCAGTGGCCCTGTTGGCTTATTTTGTCTTGAGGTGATCTTAAGACGTAAAACGTCTTAAGGAAATACAAATATTTCCTTCGAGGTCCAAATTAAACGCCATCCTCTGTAGTCTCCATTCGTACACCTTGGATGCCGTTAGGCTGAGATTCTTGGTACACTTGGCTCTTCTCTCCAAAACAATTTACATTGCTTGAGGGAGTCCGTCTTTACTCTTCCTAGTAACTTCCCCAAACTCCTAACTTAGAGACTGTTTCAATAACTGTCGTTTTAAGGCTAAGTCCAGAACAAACTACTTAGGAAAATATGTCTTAGAACAAACTACATAGGAAAATAAGATTTCAGAAAAAATTATAAAAGGATCTCCAAGTGCTACCCTAGGAAAGCCCTTAAATTTATTTTATTTATAAATTTTTTTTAGTGGCCTTACCCTAGTGACTTTGAAAAGCAATTTTATGTTTCTGAGTATGAAACTTCTTGGTGAGGCATACTCTGATCACCACCGTTAATACTGAGATTTAATGTACCCATCACCCATCAAGGCCCAATCCACCTTACCTTGTGCTCACTCCTCTTTGTTCCATCAAAGTTATAATTTTCTATAGTACTGTATAACTCACTTAGTCATTATGTATTGTTATCTGTTTTCCACTCACCCCCATCTGTTTTGGTTCACTGATATATCCCAAGGTCTCGAATATATTAAGCACTCAGTAATACTTACGGAATGAATATGAATGAATGAATGGAGAAGTGAATGCATGAATAAATAGACCAAAAGATAAAGATCAGCAAGACATATTCCTTCCCCTCAAGGCAACTTAAAATCTAGTGAATAAGACAGACATGTACAAAATACCATAGGGGGAAGTAAACCAGAAGAGAAAAAATTAAATGAAGGCAACTCTGAGTTCTACCAATTTCTGTATCCAGTCTTTTCAACTTCTTCAACTGATTTTTCTTTGTTTTTAGTTCTCTGTCCCTTCATCTAGTTCAAAGTATGAATAAAGCCCATAGCAATCGAGTGAGAAGAAATGTAGCATACTGACAATCTTCTTTCGTATACAGAATATCCTGCTCATTTTGTCTGCTGTGTGCCTTATTCCTTGGTAAGTTTCCCTTGATGTTTTTCATAAAAGAAAAAAAAAAGAACTCTCCAGCCCTAGACTGATATCTATTCAACTTAATAGGTAGCTGTAGCCTAGTGTTGGACAAGGAAACCCCAGGCAGGTTCATGCTATAGGATGAGAAAGTAGCTTGTGAGGTGGTGGCCTCAGCTTGATACCTGTGTGGATTTCATTTTATTTGAAACTCTTATATATTCCTCAAGAAAACTAGATTCTTTTGCATTTTTCAAATTCACATTAACTAAGTAAGGCCTCATCAATGACCGTAACCATTACCACATATGCATATACACCTCTACTAATAAGCCATGCATCTAGATGCTAGAATTAACTATGGTTTTATTTACTAGTTCCCTTTCAAACTGACTGACACATATTACAAGCCTATATTAATCTTTCTAGCATTCTTAAGTAATGTTTTATGGCAAACATTCTAAGTTGAAATAAACCAAAATTTCAGCCTGCCATTTCAAATCGTCCACAACAGTCTTCAGTACCTAATTTTCTGTCTCCTAGAAGACTTAGTATTGAACGTTTTGAACTGTAAAGATGCTAGAAATGGTCAGTAAAGGTGAGGACAATATACTCAAGATGCTCAGATGGAGACCAGAAATGAAGAAAAACAACTAAAACACTAATAATGTATGACCGTAAAATAATGACCATTGCTGAGATGAAGATGAGGTAGGAGAAACACAATCGACTCTGCCAAGCCTGGTGTGAGTTTCCTAAATGAGGAATCAAGAATTGGCCATTTTGTGTGGCGCCTGTTTAACGGCAGGCAGCCTCAAAGCAGGTATCCTAGCTATCATATACACCTGGGCAGTGTTTTCCATAAAGTGAATTCTACTTTCTCTAAACATCATGACTTCAATTTCTGGTATTTTTAAACACAAGTTAAATTTGATATTTTAAGTCTGGTATTTTAAAACTATATAACATGACTGGTAAAAATGTCTTCATGACTACAAATAAACAAATCTATAAATTATTATTGAGAATAATTCAAGACAAGCAAATAAGTCTGGCAAAAAAGTCAAGAACCATGTGATTTCACTCAGCTGTTGGACATAAAACTAAAAGCAACAAATGAACAAACAAGATGCATAGACACAGACAACAGTATAATGATTACCGGAGGAAAGAGGGGTGGGGGTAGTAAAAGGTAAACAGGGTCCAAATATGGTGGAAGAATATTTATTTGACTTTGGGTGGTGGGAATACAATGCAATAAACAGATGATGTATCAGAATTGAGCACTTGCAACCTATATAATTTTATTAACCAGTGCCACCCCAATAAATTTAATTTAAAAATAACTTTTTAAAAAAGAAAAGAAAAACATCATCAAAGGAATTGTCTGTGCAAGTTCTCAAGGCTAATATTCATGTTTTAGAGTTAATCTACGTTTGTGGTTAGCATCTGTGTTCTATCACAAAGGTTTAATGCTTTGAATCCCTTTGCTAGTACACAGGCTAAGGAGTATTCATAGCAAAGCCCTTGATCTTTATAATGTATGTGTTGTCACATGATGGAAAATATAATTGCAAATAAAGGAACTATTCTTTTTGTTGGAGAAAATATTTTTGACAACGTGGTTTTACTTGTATATAACTTCATACCAAAAATTCATAGGATTTTTAGAAGAAGGAGTGGACCTTAACTATTTAGTCGAGGCTGGCTTCTCAAGTGTCCCCTCCACCTCCAGCTCTTGTGGGCAAATTTCCCAGCCTCTCTAAATCTCAGTTTCCACAGTCTTATATTTTTAAAAATGGTAGAAATGACTACTGAAGGCTCACTGTAAGGACTGAATGATATCCAGCACATGTCATGTGCTCAGAAAAGTCACTGTTGTAGTGATTATCAGTACAGAAAATGAAGCTGAGGCTCTTTGATTAAGATACCTGTCCAAGATAACGGCAAGGCAGAGCCTTGACTCTCAGACCAGGGTTTCAGATTTTCTTTCATCTTTAGGTGCATTGAACGTAATATCTCATATGTCTGTAGTGTTTTATTTGGCAGAGTGCTCTTATAATTATTGTAGTAATCTTATAATAATGCCAAGGCTAAAGAATTAAAATACCACTGCTCTACCTAAGTGGCAGCACAGATCAATTCAGGGACATTTAAGAGTTGAGTCAAATGATTTCTTAAAAGGGTCTCACTAAAATGTTATCAGCTAGAAGCTGAGCTTCCCTGAAGTCACATACTCACGCCTAAGCACTTTACATGCATCAAGGTAGATCAGGTTATATGAGACAATAAACAACTTCAAAATTTAAATGACTTACAACAGATTTGTTTCTCTCTTCTAATACATGTTCATTCAAGACCCTGGCTGATGGGATAACCTGGGACACAGTAGCTAAGTTAAAAGAGGGTTCTTGGAAGAGAAGAGAAAGACTCATAAAGGCAATCAAATTATCTGATGGGAACTGACATTTCATCATTTCCACTTTCAACTCATTGGTCAGAATCGGTAGTGTGACCACACCCAACTTCACAGGACTGGAGAAGTATAACCATTCCTGCCCCTGGAAGGAGAGAGGTGGGCAGGACTACTTAAAATGACCACCACGGGTTTTAACTTTTTTTTCTTCTTGGAAAATAAGAAACAGCAGCTTGAGACAAGATGGTGGAAACTGGTTTCAGCTTCTCTTGAATTATCAAGTTGTAAATAACAAATTTAAGTTAACATTTGTACTTTTTTTGTTTGTTCATTTAATGTATATTTTATGGTGGATATAGTCACCAATGAAATATGAATGCTTTTAAAAGCAGTTGGGGGATTTGATGTTTAATTTTTAGAGTGTACATTAAAAGAGCAGTAGAAGGGAATATTTGAATACTGGCTTGATTTTTGATGAGGAATTTTTAATTATCATATGTGTGACAATGGTTGCTATAGAATTTTTTAAATGGAACTTTTTTTTTTAGAAATACATAATGAAATACTTATGAATAAAATATGATGGAATTTGCTTCAAAATAATCTACGAGGTAAGTGGGGGCAGTGGGTGGGCATATAGATGAAAAATTAGCCATGAATTTATCATTGTTGAAGCTGATTGACTGGTGCATGGGAGTTCATTATTCCAACCTCTCTACTTTTAGGTATGCTTGGAATTTTCCATAATAAAAAATTTTAATGCAGTAATAGGCCTCCAGCTGCTTCAGCCCCAGATCCAGTTTCTCTAGACATGGCTAACAAAGGGTCCTGACCTGAGACAGCAAAACATTGAGTCCCTGGAAGTTTTTGCGCTTGCCAAACATTTGAAACAATCAAACCTTTGCCCAAGGTGGCAGCAAATAATGCCTGTGCCTTGAAGCATCTGGCATGACCTCAGAACTACCCACTCTTGCTCCCTAAAGAGGCTGAGCACTCAGAGCC